TGGGACACATTTTGAATGCTTTAGTGGACAGTTTGTACAACTCTGCCTTAGCCTTCCCTTCCTGCTTATGCAGAGCCCCAGTGCTAACCAAAGGGAGAGGGTTATAGCATTTTCAGATCTTCCCTGGTCATATGTACATGCATATGGCTTTCCAGAGTTCCAGGAATATTCCAGAGCTTTCCAAAGCCTCCTGTGGACATGTCATCCGGTAGCTTTCCCTTTTAAGTTTTTGCCTGCATCTTGTTAGTTCCTCCTCATATTGTACTTCAGGCAGCTGCAACGTAAACCTTTTGCTCTCCCACCCCAAACACACACACCTTCCCCTCGTCCCACTGCCATTTCACCCAGAAAATTTTGTCACAGCTTTTCAGTAAGTCTGTAAACTCTTTATATCAGAGTTTCTCAGTCGGAACACTATTGGCATTTTGGTGGGACAGTTCTTCCTTGTAAAGAACGTGCAGCCTCTCTGGTCTTTGCCCACTAATTGCCAGGAGTGGCCACACAAAACATGCCCACATACTGCTAAACACCCTCTTGAGCTTTGTGGGCAGCACCTGGTGAAAGACCTCCACTTCACAGTGTCATGACTGTGTCCTTCTATTAATACTGAGATTCATATGTACTGTTATGACTTTTTCTTTCTTGTTTGACTTTATTTTTTCCTAGAGTTATTAATTGCCTCTTTTATTTGCTTAGTTTCCTAGTACCTTTCATTACTTAGCTGCTAAATTCTCTCTCTCTCTCTCTCTATAATATCTCCATAACATCAAACATGTCAGGTAGTAGCCTCTTTCTTCTCTTCTGGACACATCCCTCCTGCAGCCTTCTGTCTTCCTTCTCAGCTCTGAGCTGATTAGCCAGGACTGCTGCAGAGCACATGTTCTGGGGCTTCCCTTCTCCACCTGATAATCAACTAAATTGCAAATCTAAGTCGTCTCTGCTGCTCACTTGAGTGGGGGATCATGAAGTGTAGGACAATTTTCATTGATTTTCCTCCCTTTGTGGTGTTGGGCATTGAACTCAGAGTCTCACACATGCTAGGCAAGCACTCTACCACTGAGCTAGTCCTCCAGCATGGAACTTGAGAACAATTTACATCTTGAAGAAGTCATATATTCACTGGACAGCTGAAGGCAGAGTGAATATGTGTGTAACATCGCTTCATACCTAAATACAATGAACACTTTTTTCTTATTCTTTCTTGCATTGGGGTTTGAACTCAGAGCCTACATGGCATGCTCTACCATTTGAACCATGCCCCAGATTTAGAATGAATACTTTGTAATATACTTCTATATTTGTCATGTAATTTGGTCCTTATTTTAATCTTAATTCCTCATTTATATTTGAGATGCTCTTTGGTTTGAGCCATGCTTCTAGTCCTTCCTTTTGAAATAATACATTTGGCAACAAGTATTAATTACATGTTCACTATTTTGTGAATATTGTTTAAGGGTGCTAGGAAAGAGAGAAGAAATAAAAAATAGTCTTTCAGTGAGAGAACTCAAAATCCATCAGGACTGGGAACTTGTGGTGGGTGTGCAGTTGGGACAGGAGTCCACCTTGACTTGTGGCTTCTTACTGTGTCTGTCTCTGGGGTGCTGAGTTGCATTTGGAGACTTAGCAAGACTGACCCTGTTCAAGTTCACTGATCAGAGGACAGCTTAGCCTAAGGAAAAATAGGATCAGTCCCCAGCTTGAAGCAACAGTAAAGCCTTAGGAGTCAGAGGGAAGTAGAAAGTTAAGGTAGCATACCTCGTTCTGAAAGTCTAGACTGACTTCCAGGAATGCTTGCGGTTTGTGGAGAACTGAAGTCAGGAAAAGAATAGCAATGACATAAAGGCTCTTACTCCAGATGTGCCCCCATCTTTATGTGCAAGCTGATGAGGCCTGGAGCGTTCAGTATAGAAACTGAAAATTCCCTCAGATACTCACATTGAAGATACTCATTTCAGACACTGAAGACAATGTGCATTGTCCTCTGTTCCTCCTTGGTTTATAGAGCACCAAGTTTATTCAAATGGCAACATATTTTGGATGTCCCCTCTGGGATAAACCATATTTGGTCTAAACCAGGCATGGTGCTCATAATTGGTTTAGGTAGCACATAGTCCATGACTTTGCCCATGATGATTGGCAGGGAGCCAGGCCTTTTTGCTTTGAATGTGGTTGCATGAGCAAATGATGCTTGCAGCTGTGGCAGCCTTTTTATGATCATGAAGCAACAAGTTCAAGAGGAAAGCTACTGAAGATGGCAGACCAGAAAGAGACCAGAGAGAGTGTGGGTCTTTCATGACATCTCTTGAGTTCTGGACTTGCCTGGGGTCCAGACCTGGATGCTATCTAGATTCTATTCTTGACAGCTAAGGCAAGATGGGACAGGGTAGGAGATAGAAGGACAGGTGTTAGCAATCTGGAAGAGTTCCATAGAGGGTCACTTGGTTCACAAAATTCCATTTTTACCAAAGGCTCACTTGGGTTTTTAGGCTCTAGTCCCAATTTCTCCAAATTCTCCCTTCAATGCAATAGTTTTCAAGGAGCCTGTGTCCTACAGGATGGCAGACGGCTCTTCTTGCCCCTTTAGCCTGGCCCCTGTGAAGTAGGCATTGTTGTCGTATCTTAAGCATCAGAGATGTGCCTTAGAAATATTCACTGACTTGCCCAAGGCCAACAGCAGAGTTGGGAATCAAGCTGGGGTTCTCTGCTACTGAGGCTTGGGCTCCATTTATGGTACCCCAGTTGCTTTCAAGACTAAACCTCATGACTCTCTCTAGAGCCTCTCTCTAGGATCTTCCCCTACACCTTGTGTTTTCTGAACAATGTTTCCCTGTTATGTTCCTGCTACTCCCATGGATCCAGTAAGTCCTGTTCAAGTCCTAGTGTGAGTTCGGGAAAGGAACACTCAGTTCATTTCACATAAACTGTGAAACTCCTGTTGGAGAGTAGAGGGTAGTTGGATGAGTCACAGGCACTGAGTTGGGGTGAGGAGAGAGAGGAGGGAATCTCTAATGGTAGGAGACTGGTGACATGGGACTCAGGAGACTGCAATGCAGAAGTGGATAGGGCCCAGCCCTGCAGTAGGAGACCCTTCCTACTCAGATGATTCACAGAGGTTTCCTGGGAAAGACTGGGCTCTGGAAAAGGGAAATGGGGATTCTGGGCAAAGAAAATGGAGCTGAGCCCAAGGCCCAGAGTTACATGGTGTGCAGGAAACACTCACAGCTACCAGCTGGCCCCTGTCCAGCTGCCTCCTTTTCCTTTGCCAACCCTCCATTTGCTCCTGCCAGATAGTGCTTGCTCAGAGACCTCCTGGGGCTGGCATCCCAGTACTTCCAGCAGAAAAACCCAACCCTCTTTTCCTGGCAGCCAAAGCCTTCCCTGGCCAGGCCACCTTTATTCACCTCTCCTGGGCATGGCTGCTCCTAAGCCCCTTCCCCCACTTCTGTCCCTCTGGCTCCTCTCCCCATACCTGCCCACCACCACCTGCCCTTCACCCTCTTGCCCATTCTCCAAAAGTCACAACTCCAGGAAGGCTCTCTTTCCTCCTCCCCTACTTCAGTGAAGCACTCTTGGACAAAGTTACCTGATCTCTCTGAGGTCCCAGTTTATCATCTGTGTGGCAGTAGAGGTCTTTGTCAAGTGCTAAGGGAACACTGCAGGTGGAGCAGGTGCTATCAGAGCTTAGGTGATCAGGGCACAGAATATGTGGAATTGTCAATATTTTATATTAAAATTACAAAAATGCATAAAAGTTTCAAAAGACTTTTAAAAAAAATTAGAGAAGTACAAAACTTCATGGAAAATAGAAAAAAAAAATTCCCTAAAATAACCTAATACAGCTAGGAAGGTTTTTGTTGTCTTGTTAAGACCTGGGTAGATACTACCTACCATTCATGTCTGTTATGACAGCTACAGCTACGTAGAGAGGTAATTTATAAACCATCCATCCATCCATTTAAAAGTACAATGCAGTGGTTTTGTTTTTTTATATATTCATAGAACTGTGCAACCATCATTGGACGTGGCAGAGAGGGAGGGATGGGGAACAGGAGGGCTGAGGGACCTGCGAACCTCTTAGGGGTGGAGAGAAGCGAGGGTCGCGGCCGTGCAGGGCGTGCGGGAAGTGGAGGCTCTGACGCCCACACACTCCCAGAGGTGGGTGAGGTGGGGAGTCCACAAGTGAGTCCCAGAAAAAGGCGGCAGCGCGAGGGTGGGGAGGATTGAAGAGAACGAGTGGGTTTGGGCGCACCAGGCTGCCCTAGCGACCCTTCCAGGAGACAAATGTGGCTCTAGGGGCGGGTAGGGCTGGAGGGGAGAGGTTCGGAACTAGGGGTGTAGGGTCACGGAGGAGGCGCGAACTGATCCAGGCTGACCCAGGGCGGATGTGAAGGGAAAAAGACGGCGTTAGGAAGGGGGACTGAGCTGTCGCGAGGGACGCGACACAGCAGAGGCACCCCCACGTCGGCGCCCCGACCTGACCCACGGTTCGGGTGGGAACGAGCGGCCCCAGGCGGCCGCGCGTGCAGAGCCTGCGGGCGCGGCTCCCCCTTCCCTTCCTTCCGGCGGCCGCGTCCCGTCCAGTTTGCAGGAGGAGCGCTGCCCGCCCAGGGGCGTCGCAGGACCTCACTCGCCCACCAAGCGGTGGAGTGGCTTCGGGGTGTCTTCTCCCGAGGGGCTCCCCGGGACTAGCGGGTGTCCAACCCCAACAGGTGCCCCGAATGGAAGGCAGTACGACCGTTCGGGACACAGTCGCCGACTTCCGGCAACTCGGTTTTACTAGACACCCGACACCACGAGGACCCCACGCGCTGCCCTCCGGGAAGGGTCCGGGCTCGAGCGGACCCCGGGGCTCCTGCGAGGGGGGCGGTGCCACTCCCAGGAGTCCGAGATGGGCGTGCGCGCCGACCAATGGGCGCCGCTGCCTCCTCGAGGCCGCGCCCCCAGGGCCCGTGTCCGGAGCGCGCGAGCGGAGCAGCTCAGACTCGGGTGGCAGAGGCGCGGTTTGTCGCTCCGGCCATGCCTGGCGGGGCCCACGAGGCTGTTCCGAGCCCGGTGCGATTATGGTAGGTGACGCCCGGGACTCGATTGGCCCGGCCATGACCCTGGAGACGCAGGACGCACTGTACGTGGCACTGGAGCTGGCCATCGCCGCGCTGTCGGTGGCCGGCAACGTGCTGGTGTGTGTGGCGGTGGGCACGTCGAGCGCGCTGCAGACTCCCACCAACTACTTCCTGGTGTCCCTGGCGACGGCCGACGTGGCCGTGGGGCTGTTCGCCATCCCCTTTGCCATCACCATCAGCCTGGGCTTCTGTACGGACTTCCACAGCTGCCTTTTCCTCGCCTGTTTCGTGCTCGTGCTCACCCAGAGCTCCATCTTCAGCCTCCTGGCCGTGGCCGTCGACAGGTATCTGGCCATCTGCGTCCCGCTCAGGTGAGCTGCGTGGCGCGTTTCGACCCCAAGGCCTCGTGAGAGCCCCACAGAGGGTCCATCCTGCTTTCGGGGACCCCAGACGGGTCAGGCTAAGGGCGCACAGGGCGGGAAGGACGGCCATTCCCAGATGTGCACCCGGGCTACCGAGACCCTGTCGGTGCACCAGAGTCGAAGACCCTCGTAACTCCCCTCCAGGCATCCTGGATGCACGAGCCCCTCCAAGGGAATCGGCGTTATGGGCTCCAGGAAGCGCTGCGCGGGGCAAAGCGCCCCTGCGGGCGCCTAGAGGCCCCGGGAGGACGCGGGAGGTTTGCACCCCTCTCCCGCAGCCGTGGTGTCCATGAGAGCCACAGTGGGTCTCAGGGACCAGTGCTAAGGGTCGGGGAGGCTTCGGCCAATTTGCCCTTTAGACGCTGGGAATTCCCACTATCAGAATGGACACTGAGTATTCAGGACCCAACTTCAGAATGTGCCTGCTGTGAGATGAGGCGGCTATGCAGATCCGAGGGGAAGGTGCTGGTTAACTTTGGGGAATGCTACCGACACTTGTCCTTGCATGTTTCATGGTGACTCAAATTACTTCCATATGCTTTTTAAAAGACTTACAGTGCTTATTGGTTCGCCAAACACAAATGAGCAGCCTTAGCGACTGACTCCATGCTATTGTGTAACCTTCTTTATACCTTGCTACCCTGTCGCAGCAGCCTGAGAAGTGCCACCAGGACTTTAGAAAACTGGAGAACATATCCTGTCTGCTCTCTCTGAATGCGCTTAAATCAGTTCTCCCCTTTCCACACCAAAATCACGAGGATTTAGGGGATGGAGCCAGCTGGCAAGGAGTGGATCCCAGTTGTAGCTGATGAATTTATTTTAATTTTTTTGTGGTACTGGGGTTTGAACTCAGGGCCTCATGCTTGTTCTGCCACTTGAGCCACTCCACCAGCCCTTTTTTGTGTTGAGTATTTTCAAGATAGGGTCTAAAGAACTATTTCCCTTGGCTGGCTTCCAGCTGTGATTTTTCTGATTCCTGCCTCCTGAGTAGCTAGGATTACAGGTGTGAGCCACCAGCGCCCAGCTGTAGCAGATGAATTTAAAGTTGAGGATTTGCTGAATGTGTTTATTATCTTTGGTGCCTGGGCCCCTTTGGCGTTTCTGAGGTGAGCTTGGGGTCTCTACATTTGGAACTAAAGAAACTGAACAGGGAAACTAGTTGCAAGAGTAGGAAGAGAAGGGAAGGAGCTCATTTACTGAGTGTCAGCTGTGTGCCAGGCAGTTTATGTGAAATGTACCTCCTTTAGTCCTTGCAGTAAGTCCAGCAGATAGGTACTGTTTTCTGCACGCATCCTGTGGATGACGGCCTGGTGGCTCAGGGAGAGGAGAGTCTTGGCCAGAATGTTGCATCTGGAATGAGTGGCAGAGGCAGGACTTGAACTCAGAGCTGGCACTGTGTTCTCACTCATGCCAGCAGGCTGTCTTGCAGGGCCGTGTGTGGCACCAGTGTTGGAGAAACAGAGAGCAAAGCATTCTGTTTCTGGAGGAGGATCCTGCCTACAGTGAACTGGTGGTTTTCAGGGAAAGGGGTTTGTGGGAATTGAGCAGGAGAATGCTCCGAAGAAGCCTTTTTAGCAGGCAGATCTTTGAGCCTGGTCCCTGTGGGTCGTGCTCTGGGTCCCAACAGGAGCAGGAACCTCCTGCTTGGCCAGCCAGGAGCACGAAGTGCTTGTCTGTGCTGTTCCACGTGCTGCTGCCCTTGGCACCTGACCAGGAGGATTCATGCATCCTACAGGTGTGACAGAGCCTAGGGATTTTCTAGGTACGGGGCCTCACCGCATCCTCTTCTCTCTTACGGGTCCCTTCCCTGCCTCCTGATTCACATAGTGGGTACATGAAGGCCATTGGACGTTTTGCATGCCACAGAGAAGTCACACACCCTCAGTTTGAGTTGCCCAGTGAAGGGGACTCCCTGGGGCTTGCCCCTGGTAGAGCCTCAGAGACACCCCAGTTCATCAGAGAGTTACTGCAAGAATCTCTTATGCCACAGTGATAGAGCAGGAAGTTCCATAAAAGTTTGAATCTGTTAATTCTTGTCTTGGTTTGTGCTGGGTGGGGTCCTGAAAAAAAAATGGGTGTGGGTGTGTTAAGGGGAAACAGATGTGAATCACGGTCCCCTCACTTCTCTTTTGCATTTGCTAAGGGCAGGAGTGCAAGATCTAAGTGGAGTAGGGAAGAGGCTGAGTGGGGTCGCCAGGAGGCTTGTCCCATCCTCCCCACTCCTGGCCTGTCCACAGAGCTGAGAGGACTGAAAGAGTTGCACAAGAAGTGCCCCAGTTCCTCCATGTGGGTGTGAGATCTGTCCACAACCTTGGCTTTGCTTTGGGGGTTGAGAAGTGTACCTGGGTTCTCATGCTTCACTGAGCTGCAGCCTGAGGTGGGCCTTCTGCCTTCAGCTGAATCATCAGCTCAGACCACGGCCCCTCTGGGAACAAACCAAAGTTTGAGAATTCTCAAACTTTGTTTGAGAGTGTGGGGGGCCTGAGGCTCCCCTGTGCTTGATTGACACAGGCTGGGTTGGCAGGTTGTTTACTAACATGGAGGAGATGACAACACAGGAGGAAAAGGGAACCCAGAGGTGATGCTAGGCACAAAAATGACAACTTTGGTCTGACTTGACAAATTTGGACTGTCTACTTGCATCAGGTCCCTCCCCTTGCCTTCAGAGTGAGGTGTCCTTAGACAGAAGGTCTACTTATCCTCTTGGTCAATCCACAGACAGTTCCTGACATCTGTCCTCACAGAGGGTCTGGTCTGGGGGAGCTATCAGCAGTGGCTGTAATGGAGGTTCATAGCAGGGCTGGGGTGGGGGCTCCCGGGCTGTGGGAGGTGAGCCTGTGTCTGCGCACAGCTGCTCCTGGCTCTCACTTCATCCTCAGGCTTGTTCTGGTTCCAGCAGGAGCACTTCCTCCTCCCAAATGTAATCCTGTTCCCCTCCATGCCACACACACACCTGAGCAGGGGGTGACCATGACTCACTCTGGGAGCCTTTCCTGCCCTTCTCCATGGACTCAGTTTCCCTCTTTGCTGTGGTTGAGTCTCTGGTAGGGCTGATGTCTGGCTGGGTCAAGCAGATGTCAGAGCTGAAGGAGGGTGTTTTGCAGGGAGTGTTTGGCTGGCTGGGTCAACAGAACAGAATGGGGTGTGTTTGTGCCCGTCCCTGGACCCTGACCCTGTCGCCCTCCCTGCCTTCTGTCACACTGAGGCATTTGCTCTGTCACACATGTCCCACCTGGGAGGTAGCAAGACATTGTGCCTTGGGTGAAAATGTGATCTGCATTTAGGTGGGAGTTGGCAGGAGATCGTGAATGTTTTTTTCAAAACTTAGAAAAATTGAACTATATTTGAAAATAAAGCAGGAAGGAAAATGTTCAGCTCTGGGTCTTACCTCTCCAGCCTTCCCAACAACTCCACTCCTTAGCCTCCATCTTCCTCCTGTATCAGTGTTATCTTTCCCTTCCAGCTCACTCGCATCATAGTGGATTGAACAGTGGACCCCAAAAGATAAACATGTTTTAGTCCTCAGAACCTGTGAATATTCCTGTATATTGCAAAAAAAAAAAAAATCCAAAAACATAACGGAAGAAGAAAGAATATTTCCTTCTCTGGAGCTCACGAAAGGGGGCTTGTGCATTGTCTGGGTGGCCGCTAAGTATAGTTGGCACCCTTTTGCGATAGATTCATAGAGAAGGCCATGTGACAGTGGAGGCAGAGATTGGAGGGAGTGGCCACAGCCAAGGACATGGGCAACTATAGGAGCTGGAAAAGGTGCAAGACAGATCCTCCCCTTGGGCCTCTGGATGGAGCCCGGACCTGCCAGCACCTTGATTTCAGACTCTGGCCTCCAGACTGTGAGAGAATAGATTGCTGCTGCTTTGAGCCACTGGGTTTATGGTACTTTGTTAGAGGAGCCGAAGAAACCACCCATCAACATGGGATGGGCTTAAACCAACTCTGCCTGACTACTCCTTCCCTCCCCAGCAGACCTCTCCAACAAGTCATCCAGTCTCTTCCATTTCTGTTGTCACCACGATACCACTGATTAGTCCTGTCATTCACCTGTGCCGCATCCCCTTTGTCTGAATCTTGTGGGCACTTCCTGGACCTCATTTCATATATCCTCCTGCTGTGCACTGGGGAGCCCCCACCTTGTCTCCTCCTGCTCCCCTGTAACCTTGCTCTACACAGCTGCCAGAGAGGATGACTTAAAACAAGTCAGATCATATCATTCCCTCCTTAAAGTGCTACCGTGGCACTTAGGGTGACAACCCAATGACCTGTATGACTTGGCTTCTGTCACCCCATCCTGCGCCCCTTCCAACATCACTCACCAAGTGCTTTCCCCAACCCCAGAACTTTGCTCCTTCTCTCTTCCTTCTCCCTCTTGAATCTGAAGAGGCTTTTCTCAGCTCTGTTTATTTACCCTTAACTATTCATTTCTTTGAATGATGTCCTTACTGAGTTGGGAGCTCAGCAGGTGAGCTCTGTGAGACAGGATTTTGTCTCACTTTCTAGAACCTCAGCACTGGGCATGACACATGGCGTGGGGCTAGGGACCCACACTACGAATGAACATAAGAATTATCAGCTGAAAGGAGCTTGTGTAGGGGTGTGGCATGCCCAGGGGAAGAGCTGGGACAGGATGGGGAGACAGTGAAAAAAGAGGTGTAGGAGGGGAGGGTCCAAGATAGGAGATCCACAATAAGGGACAGAGCTCCTTACTAAGGTGACATCAGAAGAAAAGCTGGTCCAATAACTTTTTCCATTTGTTTGTTTTGAGATGGGGTCTTGCTGTGTTGCCAGACTGGCCTTGAACTGCTGGACTCAAGCTGTCTTCCTGATTGAGCCTCCCAAGTAGAATGCACTACAGGCATGTTCTACCATGCCTGACAGATCTAGTAAGTTTTAATGAAGAAATGAAGGAAGACCATTTTCTGAGAGGATCCCTC